TCAGCATTAGGGGTCGTGTGTGATGAGCCAATTGCTTCCTGTGATATTCATTCTTAAAATAAGGCTGGGATTATTTGCACTGCACACGTAGTCACTATGGACGAGTAGTCCTTCCCACTAGCTTTTTTCAGGACTACTTGGAGTCCAGCTGAAGGACCGTATGGAGTAGTGGGTACTCCCAAATCTTCTGAGAGAATGAGACGAGCTGAACTTTTTTGGGAAGGTTTGTGTCCTGTTACATCTGGCATAAAAGTAACAGCTTTTTGTGAAAATAAAAAGCATTTTACCATACCAACAGTCAGACATGGTGGTAGTGTAATGGTCTGGGGTTGCTTTGCTGCTTCGGGACGTGGATGCCTTGCTGGAATTTATGGAACCATGAATTCTGCTCTCTACCAGAAAGTCCTGACAATGATCCGAAACACACCAACAAGTCCACCTGTGAATGGCTCACAAAAAGGAAAAAAGTTTAGGGAGTGACCTACTCAAAGTCTGGGCTTAAATCGAATTGCTTCAACATGAACTTAAACAGGCCGTTCAGTGTGGCTGAATTAAACCAAAGAAGAGTAGGCCAAAATTCCTCCACAGTGATGTGAAAGACTCAATGTCAGTTATCACAAACGCTTGATTCTTGACAGTTCTTGCAAACAAGCAGGTATTAACTTGTTTTTGTCACACAGGGCAGGTATGTTTTGATAGCTTTCTTTTGTTAATAAGTGAAATTGTTTAAGAACTTAATTTTGTATTTACTTGGGTTATCTTAGTCTATCTGAAATATGTGTAACACTTGGGTTTGTGTATAAAGTAATATTAACCCTGTAACACCAAGTGTATTATATTGAACGCATCAGGTTTTGTAATCGTATGAGACTTCTGCATCATCAGTATGATTATTCCCTGAAAAAAACCCTTTAACAATATATACTGAATACAAACAATAAATCCGGGTACACACCGGCTCACTCCTTGGTGGCTGCTTGTCGGGGCCTGGAGCCTGGGGCTCGCTCGGGCCACTTCGGAGGTGGGGTGCCCCCGGCCTCTCGGCCTGGGGCTCGGTCACTCTGGCAGGGCTGGCTGCCGGCGGAGTTCACGGGCGCGTCACTGCAACTCCCCCTGGCTTCTGCTCCGCGGCTGCTGAGTGAACCCTCATCTGGGACTCTCCTCAGCTCTTACTGGGACAGTGGTGCGGCTGCCCCTCTGTTGGTCTTCCTTGGTCTCTTGTGTTCTGGGGGCCTCTGGATGTCTGGAGTTTTGATCTCCTCCATACCTGCTTCATGCCCGGGAGGACGGGGCTGTGGCCCCCCCACACCCTCTAGCAGATCATTACATGAAGGAACCTTTTAAAAACAAGCGCGTCCACGCTCACAGGTGTACACACGGGTGGTCACACCCACAAACTACACCCTTTTTGGCTCCTACCTCAAAGTACACTGTGCACTGTCAATCTCACGTACTGCACAATAATGTTTAATATTTAGTATTTACTGTTATATTCCCATATATCATCGTGATGTTGTTTATTCTGTTGCTCTCGTTTTCTTCTGCTTGTTTTCTTTTTTCATTCTCAACAGGTGAAATTAAAAAAGTATCTACTGTTATCTATTATTAGCTATTTTATTGTGATGGTGTTGTTTTTATTATGTTGCTCTTTGGTGATCGTGGTGATCCAGGTGTTTTGTTTGTTTTTCTTTTTTTTCTTCCCCCCTTTCTCACCCTCTCTTCTCCCTTCTATTTTTCTTTCTCTCCCTCTCTTTCTTTCATTCTTTCTCCCTGTCCTATCCCCCAGTCATGTCTGTCCCGTCTTTAAAAAACGAAAATAAAATAAATACATAATTATAATAAAGGTCAATCAAATGAACCAATATGGCAAGGCCATGATGATCCACTTGGTAAAGTAAATCCACTTGGCATCTTTCTTGGCCTTCAGACAACAATTCTGATGGCTAAAGATCCAAACGGGACAGGCAAAAAAAAAAAAAGAATATTATTTTGTGTTGACCTTTGGTTAACACCAGGAAGTGACTGGTGATTTTTACTGCTTCCCAATTGTTACATTTTTGTTGTCGTTGTTGTTGTTTTCAAAATCATAAAGTAAACACCAAGTACTGCATATAACAGCTAGTTGTTAAGTTTTTTGTTGCCTAGTAACTAATCACATGCAGGCATTTCAGATATGTGGTCAGTCTTGTCGTAATCAGCTGGCTACATTAGGCACACCTGCCATCACAACTGAACATTGCACAGTGGATATTGACTTTCTAACACCCCCCCACCCCTGAGCTGTGTCGTCACGTTCACACACACTGAGCAGATGTTTCTACTGTTGGCACAGAGTTGGCAACTGTGAGCGTGATCATAAATTTATACGTGCTATTTATAGTGTGCGAGAGACAAATGCAATATTAATGCCCGTGCTTCTGCAGTGACAGGGTGACTGCTGCTAACACAGTTGATAGGGACATGTAGCACACAGCTAACAGCTAGTTTCTTGGGGCTGAAAACAAAAATGTTTAGTCATCGCCACCATATTTTATGACAGATTATGTAGTTAAATGTGTCAAAATACCCCGACCTTGTTTCTTTTATTAACATTTACATCACACATGGTGATTCTGAGAGGGCCCTCAGGCCTTAACCTTTTGCCTCCCTCATTTTGCTTGCTCGTAACCTCTGCAGCAGTTGGAGCCTGTTCTACTGTTACATCACCCATAATAACAGCTTGAACTCCATGCTGGGCCTAAATTTAGAGTCTCAGGTGAAAGTGGAGCAGACTGTTAGACAGAAAGTGGCCAGAGCAGCCAGCAGTGTGACATCCTTTCTCTAGCATGATGGGCTTCCTGGTGCTTCTTTGCATTTCCTCCCGATGAAAGGAGCTGAATAAAATGCCTGAACAGGATCCATCTAGCTGATATCATTTTTCACCTACCATCTCTTTAAATGCTGAATGCTGTTGAAAAAAATGCATAGTCCCCTGAAGTTTGGGCATAATATTTTGCTCTAGCCCCACTGGCCTTTAAACAAGAGTAACTACTCAGACAGAAACTGCAAAACCCAATAACCTTGCTCCTGTAGCACTAACCCTAGATTCTGTAAAAAGGCTAAACTTAGGGTTAGGGTTAGGTCTAACCATTTCAGTGCAGTATGGCACTGAGTCTAAATCATCCTCACTCATGTGAGGATGATTTAGACTCAGTGCCATACTGCACTGAAATGTACATACCACATTTGTGTCCCACAGAGGATGGGACTTTTCCACGCTGATGTCTTCAAGTTGTCCTTGATCTACCCATTGCCAAACTCTTTAACCCAGTGTTAGTGACATTAAAAGAAAGCATACGTGAAAGACTTTGCTAATACAGTTTTGACCCATCGGGCCCTGGCATGGGACTTCTGGAGGCATCCTGTGGTGTCTTGTTTCATGACACTGGCAGCAGATCCGATGGATCACGCAGATGTTCAGTTGGATGGGATCTGGGGAGTTTGGTAGCCCCGTCTGAGGTTTGGGCTCTTTGTCTTTTCCATTCCTGAGCAGTTTTTGTTTTGTGTTTGAGAGCAGCTGTTGCTGTCAGCAAATACTGTTGTCATGGGGGCGTGCTTCGTGTGCAATAAGGCTTAGGTATCTGGTAACATTTATACGAATGCCAGGATTGTAACAGGATAATTAGCGTAATTTCACCTGCAGTTCTCTTGTTGTGGTTGATTGGCTTATATTTTCAAACAAAGGATGCAAGGAGATGAACCATAGGGTTGTAGGTTGGTCCACCACTTTGATCCAGACTGAAGCAGATCAATTATCCCTCCTAGATGGAAAATCGTGATAATCTAGCACCACCACATGGCTGAGATTGAAGATTTCCAAGAATGATCTTCATGAATCTAACAATTCCTTGACATTTGTGATTTTGAAAGAAATTTCTATCAGATTTGGTGCAGACACCCATCGTTAGTCATCCCCTGACTTTTAACCATACAGCACTGAAGTGGCTGTAGACGGGATTTTCTTTGAAACCCAGTCATTGTATTTGTTGTGTCTGCTTTTTCTCAAAACAACGGTGTGATTGCAGTCATTTACAAGCAGGAAGCAGTTAACACCGACTGTCACAAGAATGAAAAGTCTAGCTTAGTTTTGTCAGATCACCTAAAACCTTCTAATTTTGTGTGTAATGTCGGGGATATACATCATATGCGCCTGAGGAGAGAGCTGACTGAAGAACCATCCAAGTCTGGCAGTGCAGCAGCTGCTCTAGAGCCCTCTACAGTTTGAATCCGGCACTCACAAGAGATTCTTTCAAATCACTTTCTAAATGACGTGTTTCAGAAGCACCGAGGATCAATCACAGAATGAAAAATAGACACACAGATATGGTGACATCTAGCTACAGAGGTTAAATCTGTTGTATTCCGAGCTGTTAGTTTATGCTTCAGGATATGCATTTTTAAAAAAGGTGGGTTTTAGAAGCTATTTATACAACACTATGGTCAAGGAAACATCCACTTTCTGAACTACTTACCCAGCTTACGTTGAAGGGGATGGAGCAATTTGGGTCGACTACCTACCAGGCTACCCAGATAGGCAGGTATAAAACTAAAAGTTGTGGATAAAAGAACTTTAAAAAAAGATGCGCCTAGTTAAAACTAGGATTAGCAACATGTTAAGAATGAAAAATTAGCGACATATAAAAAACCCTGGTAGATGAAACTGATTTATAAATTATTATCTGAAATAAATATTGTTCAGTTGTTAGATGTAATGGAAAAAAATGACTGAAGTAGATAAACGTACAAATACGCACATATTTTTAGAACTTTTAGGTTAAAAAAAATAAATCACTGAAATTTTTGTTATATACAGGTTATATACAAGCTAAAACTAATGTAAAATGATTACTCAAAATAGAGGTTAAAACAAATGTGTAAAATGATTAGGTACAAGTAAGTTTTGGATTATAAAATGGATTACTTAAAAAAGTAATAATCTGATTTAATTCATAAGTGGAAAAATAAACTAGCAATAGCACTTTATTTTTTGCTAAAAGTAAATGGTGCAAATATTTTTGTTAAAAGTAACAGATTATGACTAAAATAATAGTGCTGGCTATATAGTTATAGCATATAAAATTAATCAATAAATTGTCAAACTAATAAACTAAACATAATGAAGAGATTGTTGAAACTGCTAACAGTAACAACATGTCCAGACACTGCCACAAGGTAGTATTTAATAAAAGACAAGTGGCATGTAGCATTCATTATTCAATTTTCTTATCCGAGTCACTGGGTGTGGTGTGGGTCATATAAGCCTTGACTGTCAGCTTCCAACAGCACCTTTTTATTTGTCTTTTAGAGATCTGCCTGCTGAAACATGAAACCTCAAGAGGGCAGCAACTTCCAGCTAATCTGACAATACATCACTCGTGCTAAAATAATTTCCATATTTACACAGGAGATGGAAGTGCTATAAAGGCAAAAATGTCAATAGTTTAACTTTCCAGTAATTATGTTTGAAGACACTGTTCTCCGGAGGGAGTGTTTTGGCCGTCGTGTCATTGGCTCCCTCTTCTACATCTGCAGCCTAATCGGCGTCCTCTAGCTTCCTCTGCCTTCCTGTGGAAACTGGAAACTGCCAGCGTTCTGTTGTCGGAGCAAGATTACTGCTCGCAGAGTAGGACCTGGGGAACAAACGTCAATGAAATATTATGAACTTCCTCGTCGACTGTAGAGACAGCTGTTATAAATAGCTAGGATTATTTTCAGACAACACTTGTGAGATTTACTCAGCCCTGGTCTGATCTGGTCTGGGCTGAGCCTCCGCGTGGGATCTGGTTACAGGATTTGGCCTGCAGTGCCCAAATGCCCTTGATCCATGCAGCTGTAATACTGTACGTTTACACATGTATACACAACGACTTGCAGTGTCACAAGTAGGACTGAATGCAGGAAATGCATGTTGGCTAAAGTAATATAAAGTCCCATTATATAGAAAATCACAAATATAATAGATGTGATTCAGTTGCTAATGAAAAGAAAATGAAGACAAACAATGATGAGAAATGTAACCAGTCACAATAAAAAGGTGTAAGTTGAGAGACAACACATGAAAAGGTGCTGGGGGGATGTTTGACCATGGTGAAGTAATATCATGCTTATGGGCCATAAAGAGGAGAATGTGAACAACATCAAAGGAATCTGACCAATAAATATTATTAAAGATTATATTCAACCTGTCATGCCAATGGAATCAAAGATGTGTAAGACTTTGGTATTTTTATATTTAGATTTTTTTGAAAACTCCAAACTACAAGAAAATCATAACCACCACCATCAACAAACATGGTCAAAGTCATCCAAGGATACTCTTGGATACTCCTCGGATCCAAGGATACTTGCAGGAGTTCTTGTTTTTAGTCAAGAATTGATAATTCTTGTCAATTCTTGACTAAAAACACTATAAATTATTTCAAAACACATTTATTTCATATAAAAGCAGATATATGATGCAATACATCTTCCCCAAAACTGAAATGTCATTTTTCAGGTTCAGAATTGTTACTTTAAAAAAAAGTTAAACATTGTAACAAAGTTCCTTTTAGCTAACAGATAGTAGATGTTATTTGTATCCATTATGTTTCGCTATTGCTTTATACATAATACTAAAACTTTTGCTTCCTTTAATAAACTTATTTATAGCTAACCGTATCAAAAGGTTGTGTTTCACATATTTAGCTCAGAGGCTTTAACACAGTTTTAAAGCTTTTATGTTAATGAAATGAACGAATTAATTTTATAACATACAGAAGCCAGTAAAAAAGTAATATTAAACATTTTGCATAGCCTAACACAAACTTAAGCCCACTCATCAAATTCATTTTAACTTAACTCATCACTTAACTTATCACTAAATTAAAAGGATGCAGATTATTGGTTTTATCACAGCTGTAGGTGGGCTGAGTCAGTCTTGGCCTGGAAAATCCCAATATTATACTCTTCGAGAGGAGTCACCTTTGTCATATGATGACTTACCTTCAGACTGTTGTAGCAAAGGAATCACACAGTGACACAAGCACTACACACATATGTATAAAAAAGATAATACATCATTAATGTAAGATGGAAAAAGTGGCTTTGGATCCGCCTTACCTTTCGGTAACCACTGAGACACTTCTCCATGGCAATGGAAAGGAAAGCAAGGAAGTTTAGTCTCCACAGTGAGAAAACGGATATGATGATTTAAGCAGGAAAATAGGAAAACAAATAATTACAACCCTTTTGTGACCTAGACTTACAGTAACAGGTTTTTTAACTGCCGTGTCCTCATCAGTGAAGATCTAATTACAGTTGATGGAATGACAGTGATTAGTGTGTTATTCTACAGTTCTTACTTTACGACCAATAATCTGCATTTGTGGCCACTGTGCTCTGTCTTTTCCATTTTATTTTCCTTTTTAACAGTGTGTTTTCCTTGGAAGTCAATCACTTTGAAAGTATGTGTTCTTATTTTAAAATAGAACTGGGCAGAGACGTCTCAACTCCAAGATTGTGTGTAGGAATGTTCGTGTGCGTGTGTGTGTGTGTGTGTGTGTGTGTGTGTGTGTGTGTGTGTGTGTGTGTGTA